AAACAGGATCCCAATCACAGACATTGCAGATTACAACAGTTTTCGATATACATACCAGAGATTGTAACGCAGAAGATTTAAGTTTTAATATTACAAACCAGTTGTTTCAAACTTACAAACTATAAGTGTCATACAACCATAGTAGCGGGATAATATTACATTAACATTATTTATTTCACACAAACTAGTGCCTTGTCCAAAGGCCATTCATCATTCCTCATCGTCATCGACTTCAAATACTGACATGCAGCAGGGACCAAAACAAGCCTGCGCATGCGACTCGCCTGCAACAAGGGTTAACAAACCCTGAGTACAAAAGTACTCAACAAGACTGACCCGACAAAAAAGGGCGAAGGTCTTAGGGATGCAGGTGTTGGGTCAAGGTAAGGATGTAGCAAGATTCAAAAGTTCTTTGCCAAAAGCTTACTATTCTTGATTCTATTTTCAAGTTTTACCCCTAAGTACTTTAGTTCATTATCTCAAACTAAGTGTTCATATCCCATATTCCAATCTTTCTCGTTCCATTCTTTTTCTCATGTTTTAGTAATTCACCAGTCCTGCATTGCTTCTGTAATGAATCGAGTCTCCATAACCGTGGAGCACCAGCAATTCAAATTGATTCAAGTCCCAGCTAATGATTCCTTATCACACGACATATGTAGAACTTAATCTTGCATATATCAACCTCGCTACCGGATCCTCCTATACTAAGCTGTCTCCACACCACCCGAGAGCACAGCACACCTCAAATCCAGCCACATTCCAGCCACGAGGGTACACGCTACTCCTGCCATCTCTCCACTCCTAGTGCGTGGGCATTCGTCTTAGTATCGGATTAGCCGAAGTAGGCTTACCGGAGTATGTGACCAGTACTACAAAGTGTCTCATTCAGAAGATCCACAATGAGTGGCCTTTAAGCGACTTAGTCGGTAACATTACCCAACATTCAAGATAAGTCACCCGACTAGTCTCTAGTTCATTCCATTTTCTTTCTTTCTGTGGCCAGTATGCCATCTTTGATTGTATTGAAACTTTTACTTTGAAAGCCTACCATAAAGCATACTAAGCATTCTACGCCTTTGTAAATGAAATCATCTTCAAGGATGGTAAACAATTAACAAGGTAGGCAATGCATCAAGTAGGTAACATTTGAATAAATCAACTTAATGCAATAAGTAACAGAGGTGATAAACTTTTCAAAGTAAACAAGGTAATGGTTTAATACATAAACCGGGGCTTGCCTTCGTTGACGATCTCGGTTTCCGGATCAGTACCACAAATATCAAATCCTGAGACAACCGGGGATTCTTCCACAACTTGCTCAACTAGAATCGGTTCACTCTCGGATTCTACACGAAATAATAATATATGCTTCAACATGATGATAATGTAAACATGATGCTTTCATGGTGCATGAAATATAATAACACCTTGAATACAACTTTCCTTCGCGGTACAGTTGCAAGCCAACAAAACCAACTTGCAATCCTACCATCAAGGACCACACAAGTGACTTGACCAAATTGACCTTGAAACCCTACTGGTTACAAAACATGACCAAAACAAGATCAAACCCTAAACTAGCACTTAGGGTTTGCTTTTATTCATTTTTGAATTAATTGGGAATTAAGCCTAAAATGAACTTGTTCCAAATGACCTTAAAATTTTATGTAAGATTCCTCATGACAAATTAGTGTACCAAAATAAATTTCATAATTTTTGGAGTTATACAGTGGCCTACAAAAATTATCGAAATTGCATTTATCAATTAATTGACTGAATTTTTGAACATTAAAAATTTATTCAAATTTCAATTTTCATATTTTTCTTAAATAATATTCATCATCGAGAGGTCACACAAAAATTTTTATAATTTTTGAAGCTCTAAATAAATCTACACAAAAATAACAAAAACAGACACTATTCATCCATTTCTGAAAATAGAAAAATTCCATTTGAACTACACAGTCGCTGACATACGGGACCCTCTTGTCATCCCTAAGCTTCAGTTTTGACCGCGATGACGATGGCGCTGACCGACGCAAACTCGCCGCCGGTGAGCCCAACGGCGACGGCCAAAACACCAAAACGTTCACAACGACTAGGCGCATCGATCTGTGGCACTACGGAGGTTAATGACAGCACGAAACACTGCTGACACCGGCCATGGCGGATGTGGCAGCACGGCGACGCTACGCCGGCGGAACAAGACCGTTAACGGTGAAACAAAGAGTACAGGAAACATCAGTAGCTCACCCAGAACGTGTTGAAGCAACGAGCGAGACCGGAGAAGCTACGGTGACACGGTTCGACGGTGACAACGATCACAGTGGAGCAGACTTCGTCGACGACGGTGTTCCGGCGACTGCAGTGGGCAAAACAACCAAGCAATAACAGATTAAGCACCACCGCATCTAGACGAAGTTGTAGAGTCAACAAGCAAGGGCAACGGCTCACCGGATGACGTTGGCCGTGGTGAAATGGAGCTTCGGGTGAGGTCGCCGGCCGCGAGGAAGAAGGCTCGCTAGCGGCTGTTCTCGGTGGACTCAGACAACCACAGTTGGTGGAATGGGTTCGCAAGGATGAGAAGGAACTGGAACACTGCTTTGTCGAGACTGGCTTGCGCAGAGGAGTCGAGGGGAGCTCGACGGAGCTGAGGCGGCGGCGTCGGGAAACATAGGAGAGAAAGGAAAGCCGACGACGGCGTCGGAGCTTTATAGCGCGGCCAAGAGAGCGAGGGAACGACACGCAGCGACCAACTCGTGCCAGCGCGAAGCCGAGGGCGGCCACGGGCGCGTCTGGAAGGCCGAAGAAAGGACGCCGGCGGTGGGGCGGTGGTCGTGCTACTGTTCCGAGGAATTACAGAATTGCCAGTGAGTTTATTTTGCGAATTACTCACAATTTTTCTAAAGAAGTTGAAAATCTTCAAAAATAAAAGTTGCTCAACTTTTCAAACTCTACAACTTTGCTTTAATGAACATTTTCAAATTCTACCTCCATTTTGAAATTTGAATTTGGGGTGCATTTGAGCATTTGAATCATTTCAAAATAACTCCAAATTTTATATGTTAACTTTAAAAACTTTGAATACCAAAGTTGATCCTTATAAAATAAGCTTCAACTTTGCTTTATGTCACACCCCCAAATTCCAAATGGATTTTGAAATAGACAAAAGGGGCAAAAAGGACTTTTATAATTTGAATTTGAATTCATTTTGTTTTGTTCACCTTTTTACTTAATTATGGTTTTTGACCAATTACATGGCCCATTAGGGTTATTTGAGTCAAATGACACATGGTCTCACATGATCACATGAAATTTGACCCTTGTGGTCATGATCTTTATTTAGAGTTTTGGATCACATTACATCACATAAAATAACAACTATGAAATAACGCTTATTTAGTGAATGCATTCAAAATTTCCTACTTTATGAATGCTTTGCAATGCATATGATGACATGTCAAGTTTTAATGCTAGGTCAAAACACCAGAAGTGTTACAATGATCGAGACAAATCCAACGAAAAAGACATATCCAATTACGACGATATAGATTGAATCAAAGGCGTTGAGCAATATGCTAATTAATGTGTAGATCCAAAATGTCATAAAAAACGAAGCTTCCTCTCCCTCTAACAAAGCAAAGGAATGATTCGGTTTACAGTTACATGAGAGAACACTTTTCTCAAGATTAAATACTCGACCTGAATAATGTATCTTTATATGGGTGTCCGGTACCTTTCAATTAATTTAGAGAACGAATCTACCGGTATGTTAATGTGAATGTAATAAGGGCAGCTCCAACAATTGACTCATGAGCTAGATCTAAACATTTTCTTCATATTTTAATAAGAGAGATAGAGAAAAACTAGCTAGCCTCGTACATACATGTCAACATCATGTGAGGGTATCTTGTAGGGCTATCCATATTATATGCTATATGCTAAAAGTTAGCACTGTTAAAGACGTTGGTTTAGAGCTAGTAACTATTTATACCACTGCGGGTGTCCTAAGTGTGCTATTCTACTTACATGTCAGTGGTTGGTCGAACTAAAAAATGCACATAGGGACGATCGGCGAAGAAGATCCTACGTGTAAAATGTCACATGTCCTAGTCACGTCATCTCTTATTGCAGATGACGTAGGCCTGGTTTAGATTGACGTTATGAATCAGTATTTGGCACTGTAGCACTTCGTTTGTATTTGACAATTATTGTCCAATCATGGCCTAACTAGGCTCAAAAGATTCGTCTCGTAATTTACAATCAAACTGTGTAATTAGTTATTTTTTTTATCTACATTTAATACTCCATGCATGTGTTCAAAGATTTGATGTGATGAAGAGAGAGTGAAAAAACTTGCAATCTAAACAAGGCCGTAGTTGCACGACAAGTCAAACTGCCCACACTGAGCCCGTGTTTAATTGGGTGAAAATTGAAATTTTGGCTACTATAGTACTTTCATTTTTATTTGGTAATTAATGTTCAATCATGGACTAATTAGGCTCAAAACGTTCGTCTCGCAATTTCTAACTAAACTGTGCAATTAGTTTTTTTTCGTCTACATTTAATGCTCCATGTACGTATCGCAAGATTCGATGTAAAGACTACTGTAGCATTTTTTTGGAAAAAGTTTTCGCAAACTAAAGGAGTGCTGAACTTCGCGTGCGGTTGTTGTGCAGTCGAAACACTACCGGATACGACGAACCTGCGTGAGAAAAGAGAATCAAGGGCGTGTGCGTGTCCGCTGCTGCTGGCACAGACCTGAACGCCAGTGGATGACGGAAAGGGTGACGCAACGGGTTGCATTGGGACACGCAACAGGTTACACAGTCAGAAACTAACGGCGGGCTGTCATCCACTGGCCAGGAGACGCCCACTTCGACACGTATAAATTTACAGCGACACCGCTGCCAGGAGACGCAGAAGAAGCAGAGCAGAAGCAAAGCGAGAAACAGAGCAAAGCGAGAACGCCGGCAACCACCGAACAGGGAGGCAAGATGGTGCAGCAAGCAGCGAAGGAGGTGATCCCGCTGATGACGCCGTACAAGATGGGCCAATTCCAGCTCTCCCACCGGGGGGTGCTCGCGCCGTTGACGAGGTGCCGCTCCTACGGCAACGTGCCGCAGCCGCACGCCGCCGTGTACTACTCGCAGCGCGCCACCAAGGGCGGCCTGCTCATCGCGGAGGCTACGGGGGTGTCGGCCACCGCGCAGGGGTACCCGGAGGCTCCCGGCATCTGGACGCAGGAGCAGGTCGAGGCGTGGAAACCCATCGTCGACGCCGTCCACCGTAAGGGTGGCATCTTCTTCGGTCAGATTTGGCATGTCGGCAGGGTCTCCACCAATGGTCTGTTCCCATCTAGCACGAACGTATACATCTTTGTCAGCTCCGATTATACTATTGTTTGATGAGGAGCTGGTTGTCAAGTTGGTTACTGATTTTCCTTTGATCCTACTGGAAGAATTTCAGCCGGACGGGCGGGCGCCTATCTCGAGTACGGACAAGCAAATTTCCCCGAGCGCCGAGCCCCAAATGGTGTATTCGAAGCCGCGCCAGTTGCGGACTGAGGAGATCCCTGGGATTGTTGATGATTTCAGGTGAGCCGCACGGAACGCAATTGAAGCCGGTTTCGATGGTGTTGAGATCCACGGCGCGCACGGATTCATCCTCGAGCAGTTCATGAATGATAGCTGTAATGACCGCACAGATGAGTACGGCGCAGCCTGGAGAACCGGTGCCGCTTCGCCGTGGAGGTCATAGATGCCATTGTCCGCGAGGTGGGCGCGCACCGCGTGGGCATCAGGCTATCACCCTTTGCTGACTACTTCGATTGTGTGGATTCCGATCCGGTGGCGCTTGGCCACTACATGATCCAGCAACTCAACAAGCACAAGGGTTTCCTCTACTGCCACATGGTGGAACCTCGAATGGCAATTGTCAACGGCCGCAGGCAGATTCTTCTAGGCTCTTGCCGCTCCGGAAGGCGTTTAACGGCACATTTATCGCCGCCGGCGGGTACGACAGGGAGGAAGGCAACAAGGCAGTGGCAGAAGACTATGCTAACCTTGTTGCATATGGAAGGCTCTTCTTGGCTAACCCGAACCTGCCTAAGAGGTTTGAGTTGAATGCGCCACTGAACAAGTACGACTGTTCTACTTTCAACACGCAAGATCCTGTTGTTGGCTACACAGATTACCCCTTCCTCGAAGACGGTAGCAATAATGATGAGTCAAGTATTCAAGCTTAATCATATAGACAATCAATCTGATCACAACTAATAATGTGGATGGTTCATCAAGTATGAGTTCATCATGAAAGCATCTAGACCTCCAGTTGGGTTTCGATGATTAACGATGACATGAGATTGTAGATGTAATTTAAGTTAGGCCATGGTAATGGAAATTAATTGGACAATCATGGTTGTCATGCCCCTATCGATGGAAATCGTTTCGGTTTTCAAAGGATGGATGACAAGGTAAATTATGGACTATTTCTAAATGTCGTTTGGTGTTAGGGAGACAGTTAGAGTAGTTTAGGACTTTGTTTTTCCTTTGGCCGTACTATTAAGTGGGGTATGAATTAGTAGTTTGACCTAGGTGAGTCTAGAGGGTTAGGTGTAATACACACTTATCAAATCTAGCACTAGGTAGCTCAGGAATAGCCCTAAGACTAATTGGAGTCAACTTCATTCACATAGGATTTCGAGTTGGAAGTGAATGGAGGGTCAAATGACTGACCGGACGCAGGTCTGGTTGTGACCGGACGCCGGAGGGTAAGTCCGGTCAGTTCATTTGATCAACTACAGTCGTCTGGTACTGACCGAACGCTGGTCTAGTTGTGACCGGACGCTGGAGGGAGAGTCTGGTTAGTTCATTTGTTCAACTACAGTCGGCTAGTACTGATCGGACGCTGAGTGGAGGAGCACCGGACGCTAGGGTGCCTACGTCCGGTCGACTCCAGAGAGATTCTAGAGTTTAACGGCTCTCTCTGACATAGTGGCGGGTACAATTGACCAGAGCGTCCAGTCAACCTGACCGGAGCTCCGGTCAGCCCGTAGAGTGATGACTCAGCCTCCAAACGTTATGTTTTGAATGAGAAGGTATAAATATTTACTCCACTCATCCATGGGAGGTTTCTTGCCCATTTGTTCAGCTGAGAAACAACTTTGGAGTGCAAAGAAGAGCAAGAGCCTAGTAGAGTGATTGAGATTTGATAATCCAAATTTAAGGACCTCATTAGTGCATAGGAAGTAACAAGTGTGCATCCACCTTACTCATTAGGCTTGTCTTAGTCAAGTGAGAGTTTGTGCTTGTTACTCTTGGTGATCGTCATCACCTAGATGGCTCGGTGGTGATTGGAAGCTTGGTGATCTTCCGGTGGAGCTTGTGCATGATCCAAGTTACTTTGTGAGCGGTTGTGGACAATTCACTGCGATAGAGTGTCAAAAAATCAGCCCGTAGAGAGCACTTGATCCTTGAGCGGATCAAGGGGAGCTACACCCTTGCGTGGGTGCTCCAACGAGGACTAGTGGGGAGTGGTGAATCTCCGATACCTCAGGAAACATCGCCGTATTTCTTTTCCTCTCTTTGAGTATTTACATTTAAGCAATTCATTTCATGTCTTTACATTCCTAAAATTGTCATGCTAGAGTAGGATTGGAACTTAGGGTGTAAAACTTTTGTATGGGAGAACAATAGAAACACATTTTAGACACAAGGGGTAAAATGGGTTAAGTGTAGGGCTTAATTATTGCAAAAAAATTAGAATTATCCTAATTCACCTCCCCTCTTGGGCATCTTGATCCTTTCAATTGGTATCAGAGCCTCGTGCTCTCTAAATTAGGCTTAATCGCCTAGAGCAAGATGTCCCACGAGGATGGACCCCCTTGAATCTTTGAGGAAGATGATTTTCCTTATTGGAAAATCCATATGGAGGACTACCTAGAGGCTTTAGATGTTGGAGTTTTTAGAGCCGCCTCACAAGACTCTCCAAAACCTAAGGATCCCGTCAACCTTCAAGGCGATGAGGTTAACTACGAGAAGTGGAATGCAAAGGGTAGAAACACCCTCTTTAGAGGTCTTTGCAAGGATATTTTTAACCGTGTCCGAAACCACAAAGACGCCCATGTACTATGGTCGAACATTTGTGCGCTCCATGGGGGAACCAAGAGTGAGCGTGAGGAACGCTACCACCTTCTGATGAAAAAGCTTAAGTCATTTGAGATGCTTCCTAGAGAAAGTGCCAATGACATGTATTAACGCTTGAATGTTCTTATAGAGGAAGTCAATGGGCTTGGACTCATACAAATACAACCCTCCGATGCTGTGAGAAAGATCTTGAGTGTCCTCCCCATTAACAAATATGGGCATATTGTGACGGTGCTTCATCAAGGTGATCTTTTCACCACTACACCAACTCAAATATTGAGAAAGATCAATGCACATCACTCCACAAAATGGCTCTTCTTTCACCAAGAAGAAAGATTTGGTATTCAAGGCTATCCAAGAGAAGAGGAGCAAAGCAAGAGTTGATCATGATAGATCAAGTGATGATGAAATTAATGATGCAAGTCTTGCTCTCATAGTGAGAAGAACTACCAAGATGCTCAAGAAGCTAAACAAGAATGGTGTCAAGTTTGATGGTAAGAAGAAAAAATTCTTCACTAGTAATAGAAGGAAGCCCATCTTCGAAATGGATTGCTATAATTGTGGAGAACTTGGTCATCTAGCTCATCAATGCCTCAAACCTAAGAAAGACATGTACAAGAAGAAGTACAAGGGCAAGAAAGATGACTCAAGTGACAAAAATAATGATGAGAAGAAAAAGAACAAACCATACAAGAAGAAAGATGGCAAGAAGAAGGAATTTCACAAGAAGAAGAAGAATGGCAAGGCATACATTGTTGGTGATTAGCTCACGGATATTGAATCATCAAGTGGCTCATTCGATAATGAAAGTGAGAATGAGAACGAGAAGGTGGCTGCCCTTGTGATTGATTCTTCACTATCTTCACCGACACCGCCGCCGTCATCCTCTACACACCTATGCCTTATGGCCAAGGGTGAACGAAAGGTACAAAATGATGATGATAGTAGTGGTGATGATAATGCTAGCAATGATGAAAGTGGTAGTGATAGTGATGAAGAATTTGAATCACATTCTTATGATAATATTGTCAAGTTGCTAAACCAATACACTAAAATCATTAGAAAGACAAGAGCTAAAAATGAAAATCTTGAACTTGAGAATGACTCACTCTTAACAAAGTATGACATAGCCAAAAAAGCTAGTGTTGAGCTTAGAGAAGAAAATAAAATTATGTCATCCAAAGTCAAGGAGCTCAAATCCTCTAAAAAGGAGCTTAGAGAAAAATATGATAAACTTGTGGGGATACATAATGAACTCACCACTAGTTACAATTTGCTAAAAGAAGAGTACACCAATCTCAAGATTAATCATGACAATCTTGTTCTTTCTCATGAGCTATTATTCAATGAGCCACATAATGCTACTAACAATATTATTAAGATTGATATAGCTACATCATGTGATGACTTGATTGTTGAGAGCATTGAGTAAGATTCTAGTAGCAAAGGCAAGAAAGTGGTTGAGACTGACAACTATGATGATTATGTCAAGCTCAAGAATGAGAATGAAAAGCTCAAGAAAAATCTTGAAAAGCTATCAACCACCAACATAATTGTAATAGAGAATCTTGACAATGATTATGATATAACTCTTGAGAATGAGATGCTTAAAGAAGAGAACAAGAGACTTAAGATGGAGAAAAATCATGATGAACTTAGAGAAGAAAATAAGAAGCTCAAGTTGGAGAAAGAATATCTCAAGACCGGTTTGAGCAAGTTCACAAGAGTCCAATATCTCCAAAGTGAGCTACTCATGAACACCGTGATGAAGATGGATAGAAGTGGTATTTGATACTTGGCAAATCAAGAGAAAAAAACTCAAGCTCAACATCAACAACAATACAAGTCAAAACCTAAGCTAAAGAGATATTTTGAGTGTGGACAAGAAGGTCACTTTGCTTATGAGTGTCAAACTCCCCCACCACAACCCTTGTCCAAGCATGCTAGACCCTTTGCCTTCAATGCTCACTACCTGCTTAGAAAGGATTCTAGTAAAAAAATGAAAGTCATGTTCTTAGATCCTCCCAACAAGAATAGGCCTAAGCAAATTTGGGTTACAAAGTCACTAGTTGAGAAAGTCAAGGGCCCCCATCAAGTTTGGGTCCCTAAACAACAAGCTTGATCTCTTGTGTGTAGGTGAACTACAAGACCGGTGAAAGTCATTGGATTATTGATAGTGGTTACACTCAACATATGACCGGTGATCCTCGTATATTCACCTCACTAGATGAAGAAGTAGATGGTAAAGAAAGGATTACATTTGGTGATAATTCAAAGGGCAAAGTTCAAGGATTGGACAAAGTTGTAATATCAAATGATCATTCAATATCAAATGTGCTATATGTTGCTTCATTGAGTTTTAACTTGCTATCCGTTGGTCAATTGTGTGATCTTGGCTTTCAATGTTTATTTACGGAGAAGGAAGTGGTTATGTCAAAGGAAGATGATGATCAAGTTATATTCAAGGGTTTTAGATACAACAACCTATACCTAGTGGATTTCACCTCCGAAGATGCAAATTTGAAGACATGCTTATTCACCAAAACGTCACTTGGGTGGTTATGGCATAGAAGACTTGCACATGTTGGGATGAGCTCACTCAAGAAGCTAATGAAGAATGAATTGGTGAGAGGTTTGAAGGATATAAAATTTAAGAAAGACAAGCTTTATTGTGCATGTCAAGCTGGCAAGCAAGTTGCAAACACTCATTCAACAAAAGCTTACATGTCAATAATAAGAGTACTAGAGCTTCTTCACATGAATCTATTTGGACCAACAACTTACAAGAGTTTGGGAGGAAATCTCTATTGTCTTGTGATAGTTGATGACTACTCTAGATATACTTGGGTGTTCTTCCTTCATGACGAGACCGAAGTGGCCGCATGTTTCAAGAAGTTTGCCAAGAGAGCACAAAATGAGTTTGAAGTGAAGCTCAAGAAGATAAGAAGTGACAAAGGAAAAGAATTTGACAATATAAACATTGAAGCATATTGTGATGAAGTAGGGATCAAACATGAGGTCTCCATAACATATACTCCTCAACAAAATGGTGTAGTCGAGAGAAAGAACCGGACACTTATCACACTTGCAAGAACAATGC